AATTAATAGCCTTATCCAGGTACCAGGAGATGAATTAATTTGCTCAAACAATGAAACCACATCTGGAATAGCAGTTGGAATTGGAGACACCACTTGGTTAAGTCTATGATTATTCAGTCATTCTTCAAATTCTCTCTATATTTTTTCTGCACAGGCCAATTCAACAAGTTGAATGGGGATGTGGTGGGAGACACTTCTTATGGCTTCTTAAAGTCCTTGTTGGTGGTCTAAACTGTGTGAATGCTCTAGGAGTGCAATGTTGCTTTTGGTTTACAATTTTCCTAGGTAGGAATAGTTGTAAGGGCTTGCATTTGGCTTTTCCTGCTATCACAGTACTTACTCTCTTGTCAGCAATCCAGTGTGATGGTTATGCCAGTTGCTGAATATATGTATTCCAATTCTGCCTTATGGAACTGGGGAAATCACTACAGGATAGGTCTGAAGACCCTCTGGTGCCACTGTGAGATTAACCTGAGAAGATCACATTAATAACATTATCTCCATACATCCTACTCTGGTAAACAACAGTGGTGTTTTGGGTCTTCTAGAATTAGTGTCAGTTCAGAACCAGTATCCAGAAATCCCCTAAAAGTCTGTAGGATAAGCTCTGGACTGGTAACAGCAAAATTGGCAATTCAAACCTACTATACACTCCTTGTAAACCCTAAACAGGATTGATGTGAGTTGAAACTGACTTCATGGCACTTAACAACAACATCAACAACAATGAACAGTCACTCTCTTAAAAGGTTCTGGGAAAGGCTGGGAGAAAGAAAAACAGTATACCTTCTTTGTCAATATAGTAAGATCCTTCCTCAAGAGGACCTGATTTTCCTTTCATTCAAGAGGTAGCTGTTATTGTTGTTAAGTTCCGTTGAGTTGGTTCTGACACCTAGTGGCCCTGTATAGGGTTTCCTAGGAGCACTGGTGTGATTGAACTGACCTTGCAATTATCAGTCCAGTACTTATCCTACAGTGCCATACCAGAACTCCATTCAAGAGGTTAGGATCTATAAACTGGCTAAGTCTGGGATTGGACTGAGGGTCTGTGACTCCCTATTTGGGCAATATGAGTTAGACTGTGGTTCATGTAATCTAGAATTCTTCCACTTGTCCAGATCAAGTAAATATTTAGTAAATGTCCCATCTATATCACTCTTAAGGATACGATGACTAAGTTACCAATGCCATGAATCCAAATGAATCAGACTATTGTGATTATTGCTTTAACTCAACTGTCCATTACAGTAACTAGACCCACCTTGTTGTTGACGGTTAAGTGGATTAAGTGCCACCATTTGGCCTCTACCACCACAGGATCTGGTGATCCCCATTAGTTTACTGTCTTAACTCTTTAGGGAAGTTCCCACTTTCAAATTTGACTTTAATAAAACAGCAATCACAGGAGTCACCAAAGATGCGGGGCCT